AAGTCCAAGATGCTGACACTCAAACAGATCGTGACTCAAATCAGATCCGAGGACTGGTTTGTCACGATAGATCTAAAAGACGTATACTTCCATATCTCCATCCTCCCTCAGCACAGGAGGTTCCTGAGGTTTTCTTTGGGGCAAAGAACACCAGTATCAGGCACTTCCTTTCGGTCTAGCTCTATCACCCCGCACATTCACGAAGTGTGTAGACGCAGCTCTGGCCCTGCCAGGCTGCAGTGTATACGCATTCTGAATTGCATAGATGACTGGCTGATTCTAGCGGAATCAGAACAGTTAGCGGTTCGGCACCGAGGTGTCGTTCTCGCTCATATGCAGATGTTGGGGTTGAGGCTCAATGCCAAGAAGAGTGTGCTTTCTCCAGTACAGAGAACCACTTTCCTTGGTGTGGTATGGGATTCAGTGACGATGCGGGCCACTCTGTCGCCCATTCGTGTAGCTGCTATCCTAACAGCCACAAAAGAGCTGAGGCTAGGCCAGTCACGCACTGTAAAACAGTTCGAGAGACTGTTGGGTCTTGTGGCAGTAGCGTCCAACGGGATACCTTTTGGCCTGCTGTACATGAGACCTTTGCAGTGGTGGCTCAGGACCAGAGGGTTCTACCCGAGGGGAAACCCACTTCGTATGATCAAGATCACGCGGCGGTGCCTTCGTGCCTTGGTTATATGGAGGAAACACTGGTTCTTAACCCAGGGTCCGGTGTTGGGAGCTCTTTGCCATCGAGTTGCTATCTCGACAGATGCTTCCCTCACCGGCTGGGGAGCGGTGTTGGAAGGCCGCTCAGCTCAGGGCTTGGGAGGAGTCATCATCTCGCCTGGCACATGAATTGCCTAGAGATGATGGTCGTCTTCAATGCGTTGAGACATCTCCTCCCAGACCTGAGGGGCCATCATGTGTTGTTCTGAAACAGTGACTGTTAGGCCTCAGGGCAGCAGCGTTCAATGTGATACCCTTTGACCTGCTGTACGTGAGACCTTTACAGTGGTGGCTCAGGACCAGAGGGTTCTCCCTGAGGGGAAACCCACTCCGTACGATCAAGATCACGCGGCAGTATCCCCGCGCCTTGGTTATATGGAGGAAACTCTGGTTCTTGACCCACAGACAACACGTTGGTGGCCTATTATTTTGGTCCCTCAGGAAATTACGCTGTCTGAGGGCAGTGTATATTCCAGGGGGGCCAGAATATTGGAGCAGACACCCTGTCGAGGCAGGGGCTGAGGCCAGGGGACTCCACCCCGAGGCGGTGGAGCAAATATGGGAGTTTTATGGCCAGGCAGAAGTGGATTTGTTCTCGTCTCAGCATACGACGCACTGTCCACTCTGGTTATCCCTCACTCAACCAGTCCCCTCGGGGCTGGTTGCTATGGTGCAGACGTTGCTGAGGCTACGTCTGTACGCATTTCCCCCTGTTGCTCTGCTCCCAGGAGTTCTGGAGTGATTCCGCCAGGATGGAATAAGCCTATTTAGTAGCACCACCCTGGCCGAGCTGAATTTGGTTTGCGGACCTAATTTTTCTCCTCGACGGACCTCCCTTGGAGGTCCCGATCAGGAGAGACCTTCTGTCTCAGGCAGGGGATGCAATATTGCACCCCCGGCAGGGGATTTGGAAACTGTGGGTTTGGCCTCTGAGGGGGCCCAACTCATTGAGAGTGGTCTCTCAACCGAGGTTGTTGAGACCATTCTAATCTCCAGAGCTCCCGCTACGAGGAAACTATATTCACTATTTTGAGAGTTTTTCACTTCTTGGTGTTACCAGCGTCAGTGGGATCCGGTTAACTGTTCAGTAAACACAGTATTCGAGTTTCTGTAAGAACGCTTTGTATCAGGTCTATGTCCTTCCACGCTTAGGGTATACGTGGCGGCCATTGCGGCTTTCCAGGCCCTGGTGGGTAGTACATTTTTGGGTCGAGACCCCCTGATCACTCGTTTCCTTCGTGGCACTTTGAGGCTGAGGCCTGCAACTTGCACTAGGGTGCTGGCTTGGGACCTTGCAATAGTTCTAGAAGGCCTATTTGGGGCTCCCTTCGAGCCCTTAGATTTGGTCTCAGAGAAGTTCCTTTCTTTTAAGACTATTTTCTGCTAGCTATTTCGTCCTTATTAGAGTCAGACCTTCAGGCCCTTTCGGTCCCCACCTGCCTTGAGTGCTCCGGGGATGGCCAAGGCAATCTTACCCGAAACATGGATATGTTCCAAAGGTGCCTACCATTATTCCGAGGCCTATTGTGCTGCAGGTTTCTGTCCTCCTTTTACATCTGCGGACCAGGAAAGGCTGAACCTCTTGTGTCCAGTGCGAGCACTGGATACTTATGTTCATCGGACATCTTCAATGAGGAAGTCCGACCAGTTATTTATTTGCTTTGGATCACCTAAGAAGGGTCTTCCTGCTTTTAAACAGACGGTTAGTAAGTGGATAGTTGAGGCTATTTCACTTGCATACGAGTACTCTGACCAGCCGTGTCCTTTGGCGGTCAGAGCTCACTCTACGAGGGGTATGGCTGCCTCTAAAGCCTTACTATTTGGAGTTTCTCTTCAAGACGTTTGTGATGCGGCAGGCTGGTCCTCACCGCTCACATTCGTCAGGTTTTACAGTTTGGACCTGGATGCTGCCCCAGGTTCTCAGGTGCTTAGTGCTTAGTTCCAACAGACTGACACTCAGGTACTTGGAATTCTGGTGTTTTGGGTATTCTCGTTCCCAAAGCGTCGATGACGCATCGCGAGTTCCCTCGAAAGGGAACGTCTCAGGTTACTACTGTAACCATAGTTCCCTGAGAAAGGGAACGAGACGATGCGTCACCCTGCCATACTTCCTGCATCCCTGTGATCGGCTTCAACTTTTTGAAGTTAATGCCGCGTTTCACCGGATGTGCTCTTATGCCTTCCTGGTCATGACGTCACCCGCCCGTGACGCTCATTCTTTCCATTGGACTAGTTGACATTGATGCTCAGACGCATTCACGCTGGGGGCGTTCCTAAAGCGTCGATGACGCATCGCCTCGTTCCCTTTCTCAGGGAACTATGGTTACAGTAGTAACCTGAGACGTTTTCTTCTTCCATGAGGGGGTTTGGCATCACGACGGCTTTATTTCTAGGTGGACCGTTAAAGAAGGCGACACATAAATCAAACACAAAGTCTCCTGGAAATCCTGTATAATTTAACTAATCTGATGACAACTTCTAAACTCTTGAGGTGTTTCCAATTTTGTGTGTCTTATGCATCATCAGATGTTCAGCCACTGATGTTGAGACTATTTCCTATTGTTCTGCAAATCTTTGTCTTAAAATCAAGAAATTCCTCCCTCAGATATCAGATTATTAATCGATATATATTGGATAAGTGGCAAGAGGAGTGGAACACGTGCAAGAATAATAAGCCATATGAAATGCATCCGTAAATTTCAAACAGACTTTTAATCACTCTTAAAACTAGATCTGATCAAGTGGTGTTCACCAGATGTCGGATAGGTCATACAAGCTTGACTCATGCTTTTTTACTTAAAGGTGAAGACCCAACTCTATGCTTGTTTTGTAAGATTCCCCTCTCTGTTAAACATATTTTATTGGACTGTCCTGGGACAGTGCATATTAATGGACATCTTAGTAATCTTTTCAGCAATGTAAATATGCCAGAATTAGCCCAAAGGCTATTTTACATCTGCTTGGTTTAATACAAGTAGAATGCTCTTTTATTAAGTTATTTCACTTATTTAGTAAGATTAAAGGTTTTGGATTTTTTTATCATATGCTAATTTTAAAAAATGTGAATAATATGACTTGTTGTTTTGCTTGTTTTTATTGTATTTATAGGATATTTGTATTTTTGTAATTTAATTTTTGCCATAAAAATAGCTTTAGATGCTGACATGGCATTAGATAAAACAATCTATCTATCTTAAAATCAAGTCATTTCAAAAGGAATCCATGCAATCTGGAATTTGTGGCGAACAGATCCCCCACACAGATTTTGCAATTGTTGGTCGGACGAACTTGCAACGTTTACCAACAGAAACCTCATGGTTTGAAAATGACTTATGTAGGAACTGTGCTTCATACATCGCTACACAATTGACAATAGACAACAGACCCTTTTTGCCCACAAAATGCTAAAATGATCACATTCTGTACTCACACTGTGATTGTTATCCATCTTGTATTAATTTGCTGAAACTGCAGCCTGCGGTACTGCAGACAGACCATAATGATTTTGTAAGACCCCTTAAAAGTTTGTGGATTTACATAAGCATGTTTCCAAAACCTATAGTTAGATGTCTACCTAGATAGCATTTATACACATCATAAATGTGCTCGTTAGGCAGAGGTAGGTATTTACCAAGTGAATTTTCTGCAGTTACATTGTTTTAATGTAGAGGTGACTTGTCTTTTATGAGTTAAGGCCCTTGCATACTGAGTCCGAAATTTTCACACGTTAAAAAATAAAAAAACTTCGAATCGGGTTTGATTTTCTGCGTTTTTCGCATCCGTAGCAAGCAGTTTGAATTGTGTTTGAATGGTGTTTTGACAATTCAGACTCAGAGCCACCGAATCACGAATATATTAACGCATACGAAAATTTCGGACTCAGTGTGCAAGGGCCTTTAGTCATTGAATCATTTTTTCAAACAATTATTCACAAAAACGAATTAATTCACAAGCCAAACAAGTGACTGTCGTAATGAACCAGACATTAAATCATCCATTTAACCGATTCATTCAAACAAGACTGGAGTAATGATGCTGAAAATTCAGCTTTGCATTTTAAAATATATTAAAATGGTCAACAATTATTTTAAATTGTAAAATGACCATGCCATTTCAGCATGGTAGGATGTATGTAGGCAGAATGCAGTGAGACATAGACTCATGGCAAGACTCGTGGTTTCAGAACAAAGCTATTTATGTTGTGTGTGCAGATATCTAGCTTTTATGTGGGTGTAAACGGTTGCATGTGTTGTGATTCAATGTGTTCACTCTTTCCCCCGAAGGCTGTCCCGAGACCTGAGGGAGGAGGAGGAGAGCCGGTTGTCATGTCAACGACGATGCGAGTCCATGCAGGAGCAGCTGTTGGCGTGGCAACAGAAAGAGGAGGAGGTAACCCGGAGACTGGAAAGGGCGGAGGACGAGATGAAGGACCTGAGAGTTGCCCGGTCCACTTTACAGCAGGAGAGGTCTGTTAGACAAACACACTCGCTAGTCAGTCACACTCCACAGCAGGAGAGAAGAAATAAAGTGTTGCTTGCTACACACAAATACATTTGTGTTCAGCCACACACTACAGCTGTACAGCTTTTTTTTCTCTTTGCGTGTTGCATCCTTCCATCCCACCTGCTCCTCTCAATAGACCGCCGACACGCCGGGACCTGTAGGATATGACTCAGTGTTTGCGAACCTGTTTCCTCTCTATCTGTCTTCATTTACAATTTGTAAAACAAACCAACGAAAGCTGTTATGCAGAAGCTCCAACTAAAGCTGTGCGTTGCGGGAATAACCAGGATTAAGTGGTGTTATTAGGCATGATGTGAAGCAGAATTAGGGCTCGTTCACACAGAACGCTAGCCTGGGAAAACCCAGACAACTTCCGGCAAATTTAGATTTGCTCTGAAAGTTAGTCTGGCAAAGAGCTCATTCAAGCTCATTTCCAATCCGCCGAAATCGAGGCACCAATCAGAAACGTTGGGGCGGGCTTTACACGATGACGACAGCGCTGGGATTTTGAAGCAGATTTTGTAGCCTGCATTACAAAGATGGATGCCGCCGTCGAACATCACTCGTTCCAATCAGCTATCACGTCTGTTTTAAGCCATTTGAACGTTTCCTTTTAGTTAAAAACCGAGCAAAGAACAACACTCGGAGATGTTTCTCCGCCGCTCTGCATACGTCATCTCCTTCATCGCTCTGATTGGGTTTAGGTCTATCCGCGACGTCCGTTGGTGACGCCCTCTGGAAATGATTTGTCTATGACGCTTTGCCAGACCATAACTCAGTTACAACTGAGAATGGTCTGGTTTTAACCAGGCTAACAGAACGCGTTTTTCGATCAAAAACGTGAGACACAGGGCAATTGAACGTCTCAAGATGCTTTTTTTATATTTTTAAGTTGAACTTATTTTAACTTTACCAGGCATCACACGTCATTCGATCAAAAAAAGTTCAACTTAAAAATGTCTTTATGCCATCCTGTATCATGCATTTTGAAATACACACAATTCCACTGCACTGATTTTCCATTGTTTCCATTGCTTTTTTAATATGTGCTTGACTGACATGGTTGACCATTGCGCTCACACCTCACATCTTCATGCATGACACATCGTTCTTGTAGCGTGACTCCAGGGGAAAAGAAGGGGAAAAATACCCACATCTTTAGACCTTGCGCAGGGGAAAGAAAAAAAAAACACCCAATCAGTTTTATCATTGATAGATTATAATCTATAAGCTATATGCACAAAATGGGCAGAGGCTATTTACATTAACTCTGCCCACTGATGTCTAGTTTGGCCAGACAGAATTACAGAAGATGCTGTATTGTCAACATCAGCAATAGTGTAGGGGTTAGGCACACGGCTGATGCAAATGAATCCGTGTTCGAATCCGCCTTTTGCCGTACTCGCTCTCCTCCCTTTTCCCATCACATATCATATCAGAAAGGCATTTATTTTCAATAAAAATAAAGAAAATACTCAAATAAAGTGTTCAACGTGTGTTTAATAATAAAGTGTTTTGGGTTAGAGGTGTGTGTGGGGAGGGCTTTATTGTCCTAATAAGGCAAAATCCATTTAATAATTAAAAAATAATAATCATTTACTCTCTGTTATTATTTCATGCCGTTTAATGTGCAACAACACTGAGGTGCAAATAGTATCTGCCTCTATTTTATAAGTATAAATGGCATCTAACTACCATTTACATTTATTGCAAAGAAAAATAGGCCTACTGCTATTTTTACATTGTCAATAGAATGTATTGCTATTTAAACTTAGTGTAAACAGCCGCTGCCAAAAGTATTTTAACTTTCTAAAAAATGCATTTTCCCATTCCACTTTATTCATTCCATCTCGTGTTTTTAAATAAAACAAACGCATTCAGTGCGAACGGCCCCTCAGAGATGTTTAGGTCCCTAAACCCCTCTTCTCCTCCTATTTGATCTTCTATTGTTCTTTCCCACCTGTTCATCAGGGTAATTGCAAGTCAATTCACATCTGTCTCTTCCTTTATTAGGGCCTGATTGTATCAGTGGCCACCTGTGTCTTGAGTTTCTGTTAGTTTCTCTCTGTTAGTGGGCTTTTGTTACGTCCCAGCTGTTTGTGTGTTTGGATGTCTGGTGTTGTTTGCATACACTCCTCTGTCCCTGAGGTCTACCTGTCTGTTAGCAACCAACAGCACAGCCTTGTCTTCTTTGTCTTTTGCTTAGTGTTGTGTTATGTTCGTCCTCAACTGTTTACACCTCAGCTGTTGCGTCGGCTAATGGTCTTGTTGCCATGCCACTCACTTCTCACATGTTGATGTCCAGGCTTGTCGGATCATGGTGTTGGGTGGATGCAATGGAATTGCTATGGCATTTTGTGCGGTTGCTAAGGCATTGGCAATTATTTGGATCAGATCTGTGCAAGAAAATGGCTGATCAGCTCGTGGGTCATTGTCGAGAACATCTAGAACCTGTCACAGCAAGCATCACTATGTTTTATGAATGTTTTCAGTTGCAGTATGCTGTGTATTCTACTAGTAGTTGTCTACTCGGGCCTGACGTTCTTGTATGCTACAGCAAAGACTCCTCCCCAAAAATGTGTGTCACTTGGTCAAGTGCTATTCAACACCGTTCATTTCAGCCCAGGGCAAACACTTGCTTTTCTGAAGATGTATTGATCTAGTCATTGAGCAGTAAGACATGGGCTTTGTTCGGCAGGCTCATACTTGTGCTGCAGGTGAGGTGGGGTCAGAGGTCGCAGGTGTTTGAGTAATGAGATGGAAATGAGTGCTTAAGCTGTCATCCTCTGAGAAACAGTGGTGTCAGACTCAGGCCAAAATAGCAAAATAATTAAAATAGCTTGAATGTAACTCCACACCCTTGCTTCATTTAGTATACGTGGTTCAATGAATATGCAAATGAGCCCCGCCTCCACTCACTCAATCACTCACTCAGCTCAGAGATCCACTCGTTGACGATCACACGTAGATCTGATTGGTTACATGGTAACCAATAGTTTGTGACGTCAGAAACACCAGCGATTTTGGTGTTTGGATCACTGCAGTTTTAAGGAGAAAAAACTCAGCAATGGTGTTGACTTGAATTATGAATTTGTGTATGGTTTGTCTTAAAGCATATTAAAAACACCACATAGACATATAAACAATGTTAAAAAAGCTTGATTTTCACCACAGGGGGACTTTAATATTGTTAGCTAAGGCCGCCATCTTGTTGTATTGTGTAAGTTTAGCAGAATCATCTGCTGAAGTCTATTGCTGCAGATATAGATTCATACTGTACATGCGTGTAAGGCCGTCTAATTTGATCCAATGGCGGCATTCAAATTAGCGGTGAAGGTCTCAACGCGTGTTCCGTCTTTTCCCATGGCAAGGAGATTTTTAATTAAATACAATACATTTTATCTTAATGTATTAACTCGTTTCATCTGACTCCATAAAATGAAAGTTTTTCAATGATATCTGTGCATCATTAAATATACGTTAATGTTTGACTATTCCTTTTAACTCCAATGGAAATGAAGTCAAAGTCTGTTAGAATAATCAAATATAACAATTTATTATGTCAGGTAAAAGTATTATGCCAATTTCATAATCAGTTCAAAGATCATCAATACAAAACATCAAATGCTTTAGGATAAGAGAAATAGATGCAAACCCAACATTTAAGAACTACATGAGCTAACCTCACGGGCTGATCTGAGATGCAGAAAGAGCCCCGAACCCCTTGCTGCCTTCCATTAAATAGCCAGAACTTCTTTACAATGGTAATTTCCATTCAGAGGTTACACCTCTTGGGTGGGGGCGTGGAGACCATTTGTCCACCTTTCTTTGTGTGCCAGTTTCTCTAAACTTCTAAAAAACCTTATTACCTTTTGTTTTATACTTTGGGAATGAGACATTTGTACCACTCATTCTTGAGACATTTCAAATGATACCAAACATAATACTCAATGATAATCATTCACATCAAACCATACATTCTTATGTGAGTTTCAGGTGATCTGCATGAAGGGGAAGAAGTGGGGGATGAGGGGAAGAAATGTAGATTAGGATGATTCAGAGGTGAGACCTCTAGTCTCGGATGGGGCCTTCACAAGAGTGAGCCCAAATGCTACTATGCAGTGGGTTCTTTGTCTTCTCAAGAAGTGGTCGTTCCCTATAACCAGTTATCCAGTCTTACATGCGTCTAACTACAGTTGCAGACGCTCCGTCAACTTTTTCTCGAATGTTCACGGACCGGCTTTGACCATTCCAATATGGCCGACGGCTTATGCATAGCGGTCCATAGAAATAGCTGCTAATGAGGAATCTATGTGTGTAAATATATATATATATATATATATATATATATATATATATATATATATATTCAACCATGGGCGTCGGAAGCAAAAAAACAAGTGTGTTGGTCCTCCCCCAGAAAAATGTTACTGGAGTAAATGCCATTTCATGTATTCTGGTGCCTTTTAATTAAACAAGTAAACTAAACTCCGCTTCACGCCGTGCATTAAATGCACAGCTATCCGTGGATTATCCTGCCGCTGATACCATGGTCATTTGCCAGCATTGGCAACTTAAAGCTGTTATTGATGTTTGCAACGCAATATTAGACTGGAAGGGTACAACGGCAATTATTTTCGTCAGTTGCGGCTCGTTGAGAAATACAATGTAGCGATTCAGCGGAAATGGAGTTTAATTTATCAGGGCATTCCTCAAGTGGAATGGATTTGACTGACGGCGCTCTGAAAAGCGTACAGACATATGCGCTGAATTAGAGACGGTAAAAGTGAGTGGGTCCAAGATCATTGGTCTTAAAAAGTGGGTGGGTCTTGTCCCGCCCATATACAATGGTTCCGACGCTCATGTGTTCAACAACCCAAAAAATGGCGATTCAACTTGTTCAAACGGTGAAAAAAAGAGAGCCAACCAACTGCGATCAGGGTTACTGATCTGACAAAACCCGATGAACTGCCGTCTGTCGGTGCAGTGTGTATTGGCTAATCATAAATACTAGCAGTACAGTAGACATGCACTATCATTATAGCCTTTCTTTTGATTCCAGTTAAACTGAGTAGTTTTTGTATTATGTTTGATTTGTATTTATTTTGATTCCAAGCAGGGATGTCTTGTCCGGGGAATAGACAGGCAGTGCAGAGCCTCAAGACAATTTTCTCATAGAAATCCTAAAGAGTGGTGTGAATGTGAAGGGGGTGATGACGACAAAAACAACAACACACTGTTGTTTCATTCGCCTTTAACCCTGTAAACATCAAACGAAAGTGGATTAAGAAAAACAAGAAGAGCGAACTGTGCCTTCCTTCAGACCTCCACCACACACCACCACCTTTTCTAAGGCATTGTGGGAAGGAAGTATAAACACTTTGTTAAAGTGCAAAGAAGTTAACAGAATGTCCTGACCGTGTGCTTGAACTGTACGTGCTGTTTCAGTTCAGAGGAACAAGCGCTGAGGAAGCACACTAAACGGCATGTGCACGCCTTGTATTCTCACACATATCCAGTCATACAATAGCTGTAACCACGCTTTGCCAATTATCACAGTCCCCGCTCGTGCCTTTCAGAGCAGATTGTGACCCCTGTTCTGCTCTACAGAGGACATTTTGTCCCTCAACTCTCTATTCTCGCCCACCAAACAACTACAGCTTCAGCCTTTTTATAAGCACTGAGTCATACGAACAAACCCCTCTTTCATGCATCCGCATGGATCACAATGGCACTGTTGATGTTTTTCATAGACTCTGAGAGTAACACTTCACTTCTGGTCTCCCACACGCACAGCTCAGGGTCATACAACCACAATCACCAAACCCCTGACAACAACAAAACACACTTCAGCGAGTGAGAGAGCCAGGAAGATGACGCCATCACTTTTAGGCCATTTAAGAGGTCGTTCAAAAGTTTCGGGTCAGTAGGGTATTTTTAAAGAAATTCATAGTTTTATTTAGCAAGGATGCTGTTATTTTGAACTCCCTATTCATCACCGCAGCTGTGTGTAATATTTTGTGACGTCAGAAACACTGGCGATTTCAAACCGTGTTTTTGAGACTGTCTTTGGCACACTGCAGTTTTAAGGAGAAAATACTCAGCAATGCTGTTGACTTATGAATTTACACACGGTTTGTCTTAAAGCATATTAAAAACACCACACAGACATATAAACAACATTAAAAGCTTGATTTTCACCACAGGGGGACTTCAAATGTTTTCAAATAGAGATCGTGGTAAAAAATGGGATGGGAGAAAAAAAATGATTTCATTGCTTTTGTGTTCTCTCACAAAAGTTTTCTGTTTCCCTGAGAATCTTTGTGTTCCCTTCTTTGCGAGCGAATGCAAAGTTTCTGGGGGAACGCAAAACTTTTGTTAGAGATTCTCCCATCTCATATTTTTTTTCTTTTACCATGTTCCGGCTCCAGACAGATCATATTCACTATAGTGTTTATCAAACACCAAATTTAATCTGAAAAAAGCAAAAATGTGTTATCAAGAGGACAACCCTGAAGCTTTTACCTCTTTTTGTAATGTGAAATTGTAATTGTCACATTACGTGCCACATGCCTAATTTGTTTCCCTCATGCCTGTGAGCGGTTACACATTTAGTAATGGTGACCTCAAAGCCGTATTGAAAATCCTAGTTACACTAATCTTCTCCCAGAACTTTTTTGTCATGTGCTTTTTTTCCCTCTTTCCTTCCAACTTCTTCCACTTTCAGAGCATTTGCTTTCTATCTGCCACTCCGATATTTTTCCATTGATTTGATTACACAAGTGCAGTGAAGTGTGCACATTCCAGACTGGGCTTATTTAACACTTGTGTTTCTGAGAGCCACTTCTTCCAGACATCCCCCATTACAGGCCTTCTCTCTGGAGAGCCATCACACAAGTGCTGTCAGAGAGCTGCGTGTCTGTCAGTCCCCGACCTATCTAGCTTTAATAGTATACAGCCTCACGGCACGTAAACCCCTAGACCGGCGAGATGAAACATTCCCTCTCTCTTAGGGTGGAAAAAAACCCCGAAAGAATACGCCTGGAATCTTTTGTGTGAGCGCCTCTGTCTCGGGGGAATTATGGCAACACATACTAGTGGGAATCAAAGTTATTTTCAGTGCATTATACTCATATTTAAGGTCTGAAATATTCTGAAAGTCGTATTCAAGGCACGTTTTAACTGAGAGGTTAGGTAGGAATGCTGGTATGTGGCGATCTGATTCAGTCAGGCTGTTTTTGAGGAATTTGATGTTTCTCCTGAGCTGTTTATGTTTGCTTTTGTGTGTGTCTCAGTCTCCACCAATCCAGGATGGAAGTAGTCTGTCTATAAAGTCGCAGTTTCTGTCTCGTGGGAGGAATGTTTGAGCCACGGAGGAATGTGCTGTAAAAATGGTATTTGTGCCAAACTGTCTGTCTGTCTAGTCACCAGCGTTCCTCAAATCCTTGCTGTCTGTCTCGGCTAATAGCAGAAGAGCTTTTCAGAGGCGCCCAAAGTACGGTTTGATGAGTCAAACTATAATCACGGTTACAAACAGGAAGAGAGAAGCATCTTGGGCCAGGTCTGCTGTCTGTACATGACAACATATCCTGTTCTCAATGAGTAATTTTATCCTTATTTACAGTTAATATATAGTTTTTATTATATTAAGACTCTGTTTTCTTTAATATAACTGTGTTTTATTCCTCTTATATTTTATTTATACATTACTGTTTAAAAGTTTTGGGTGAGGTAAGAATGTTTTTTTATCAAAGGAAGCCTTTTGCTCACAAAAGCTGCATTTATATGATTAAAAATACAGTAAAAACAGTAATATTGTGAAATATGATTACAATTTGGTAATTTATTCCTGTGATCAAAGCTGAATTTTCAGCATCATTACTCCAGTCTTCAGAGTCACATGATCCTTCAGAAATCACTCTAATATGTTGATTTGCTGCTCAATAAACATTTATGATTATTATCAGTGTTGAAAACAGGTGTGCTGCTTCATCTTTTAGATCGAATGTTCAGAAGAACAGCATTTTTAAAACTGGAAATCTTTGTAAAAGAACAATGCAAAAGTCTTTTCTGTCAATTGAATGCATCCTTGCTAAATAAAAGTATTAATAAATCTGACTAACCTGAAACTTTTGAATGGCAGTGTATGTTTTTATACTTATAATTATATGTATTTTCTCTTATATTTTTATTGGAAAACTACGGAGCCCCTAAAGGGACATGGTGAAGAAAAAAAAAAGAGATTATTTGGCAATACTTTTGCGTTCTCATGCAAATGCTTTGCTTTCCCGAGAGAAACTTTGCGTTCACTCGCTAAGACTGCAATTGACTTTTTTTTTTTTTTTTACATCTCATATTTGTTTCCACCACCATGCCTTTAGGTGCTTTATAGAAAACAAGTCGAAAAAGACCAATAAACATTTTGTTTATTTGCATTATGCTGTTTATTTTTGGGGGCTGAAAAACAGGATATGGCGCAGATTAAAAGCATCTCTGATATGAAAGCTAATAAATAACAACTTTCTGAGAAAAAAACAGGTGCACAGTCTCGCCAGAAGTGTTTTTCTCCAACATGTGTATGTCTAGCCTGCTTGACTGTGTTCAGTGTGACTGGAGAATGCATGTCTTCAGCTGGGATTAGCAGTTGTTGTGAAATACTCATTACTCTGTCTGACTTTGTTGACCATGTTTTACGGCCATTTCTCCATTTCCTTTGTAACATTTTCTCTTCATCCCTGAGGCTGCAGACCAACATTAGTCATAGTTTTATATAAGAATGTTTTATGACATATAACAATTATGTTTCCATAACAACTGTATCAACATATTCTTGCTGGTAACAGTAAATGTGTCACCGTGACTCTTTTGAAGTCTTGTGCAGTTGTTTCATTAAAGCACCTTGTGTCGTAATGGCCTAATACAGTATCGCTCCTCGATCTTACTTGTAATATTAAACAGATCAATCACGTCGTAGTGGTTTTAGACGACTCGAGTCCTGGCAGGTATGACAGCCTGAGTCAGAATTAGACCAGACATTTTGTTAATGATGACTACGCTTGATAATTTGCTCAATGATGTTAAATGCAATTATGATATCCAATGTGTTCAGTTGATTTATATGGTTGGTGAATTCACTAAGACTTTCTTTTCATAGGGATGAGATGAGAAGAAGTCATGTGGGAGAACTGGAGAGACTGGAGGAGAGCTTTAGAATAAGGCTGAACGCTGCAGAAGAGCACAGGTCAAAGGTGAGCTCACAAAATACTAATAAAAACCTGTTACGGGGGATGAGATGAATTCTCTCTAATGATTTAGGATGGGTAATTTGTTCATAACACATTTTTTCAGTCATTTACAATATCAGAAGGACAGCATGGCCTCTGCACTATTCTGAAATTTTCACAATTCACAACTTTCACATCATTGGACTTAGTCTCAGTCTCAGACGTCACACCCATGCTGGCTGAACGTCTGGTGCATAAGGCACTCTAAACGGGAAACACTTTCGAATTCGTCATCATTCATTTCATGGAGACATGTGTGTCGTGTTCTTTAACGGTCCGCCTGGAAACGCCAAACCCCCTCATGGAAGAAGAAAGCCTTCATGTTTACAGCTGTGACAATGAGCGCGTATCAGGACCAACTAAATCTATGTGTAGTTTTCAGCGCTATTGTTGCAGTAAACTTGGAACAATTTATTAGTATCATAGGGACATCGACTTTACATGTTCACACCGGTTCACACACCTAAAGACCCTTGAGTCCGAAATTCGCGTCAGAAATTTTCGCACGTTAAAAAATAAATACAACCTCACGTCATGTCAATCACGCTGGCACACTGCCTCCGAAATTTTCGTCCGTCATTAAAAATATCGAATCGGGTTTGATTTTCTGCGTTTTTCGCATCCGTAGCAAGCAGTTTGAATGGTGTTTTGACAATTCAGAGCCACCGAATCACGAATACGAAAAATGTACGAAGATACAAAGATTTTGGACTCAGAGTGCAAGGGCCTCAAACATGACGCAAATCAAACATGTCCTCAGACGCCATTAGTCAATGAAAGCTGCGATGGAGTCCAGACCTTCTGCCGTCAAGATCTGGATACGCGACACTAAACTCTCATAGACCCCTTGTGAGTTTACTGGGGAATTATACAGTTGCAGAGCACTAAAGGAGGCCATGGTGATGGAAAAAGAATGAGCTGAAATACATTATTCACTAACATTTGACAACCAGAACATGCCAAAAACCTGTCTTCATTTTGATCAGTATATCTATTGTTTCGTCATTTAAAATCTAACAAACTTCTTTTGTGTGAAATGTTTTGCTTGACAAATGTGCTGTGTTTGTATTGTAAATTTAGAATAAATGCCACTTGTTTATTTATTTATGCCTTTGGGCCCAGTGTATCAAACTTTTCCTGGATAAATTCCCTTTGAACACTGAAGACTTATTTCTATCCTAGAGAACTACAGGCACATTTTCTTTATTTTCCTTCTGTCTGAAGTTTGGTTGAGCTCTTTTTTTTTCTTCTTTTTTTTCTATTATTTGAGTTTCATTGATTTTTTTAGTGGGTTGAGGTCTGCCCTCAGCATGCTAGTATTAAGAGGAATGCCTTTTGATTTAGTGCAAATTACATTTAAGACCCGCTGGTTTCCTGCCGTTAACACAGACATGCTAGTCTAGTGTCTAGTGGAAGTGGTCTCTTACTGTCTCTCTCTCTCTCTCTCTCTCTCTCACACACACTCACACACACACACCTAGTTTACTATCTTTGCGGGGACTCTCCATAGGATAGGTGTAATGATTTTTATACTGTACCAACTGTATATGATCTCCCCTTACACTAACCCTACCCTAATCGTGCCCATCACACACACACACACACCTGGTTTACTATCTTTGTGGGGAATCTCCATAGGTGTAATGATTTTTATACTGTACAAACTGTACATTATCTCCCCTTACACTAACCCTATCCTAATCGTGCCCAACACACACACACACACACACACACACACACACACACACACACACACACACACACACACACACACACACACACACACACACACACACACACACACACACACACACACACACACACACACACACACACACACACACACACACACACACACACACACACACACACACACACACACACACACACACACACACACAGACCCTGTTGTTTTCTCTCACACGCACACTGTCTGCACTCTGGGCTCTTTGAAAAGCCTGGTGACCTTGGTCATGCATGAATACTAAGAATACATGGCATGCCACCATCACCCTCTTTGCTGTTTGTAATTGCTCAAACCATTTTATTCAGCTGCTGACAGGTCAATATTTCAAAACCCACAGTTGCTGAAAAATCCTGGTGTTTGATATGAAGCGTATGGTCACTGAAAGACTACACAGACAGCTTTATTTGCTTTCTTCCCACCACAGCAGGCCTAAATTAAACATAATGAAAGGAGATGAAATGGATCTCATAGACATTTTGTCCTGTTAGCTGTTTTACTCTTCAGTTTTTAAAGACAAATAAACATTGTGTTATGCAAGAATTCCCTCCATATGTAAATAAGGCAGAATGTGATGCAAGTGTGCAGGTGTTCAGGGATTTGCATGGGCCTTCCTATTTGGTTATGCATTATGATGTTTTTAATTTGTATTGTTTGTCCTTTTTGTCTATTTGGAGTGTTGTTTTAGTATTATTTATATACATTATAGCATTTATTAATATTTTAAATGAGCTTTTATTCTTAGTTTCAGTAATTGTATCTGCTTCAGTATTTTTATTTAGCTTACATCTATTGTTGTTTAAGTTTTAGTTATTTCAGTTTAATAGTAATTTTAGTACTTCAACTAAAGGCAACATTTCCCATTTTCCTTGCTAAGTTTAAGTTTTTCATCTAATATTTTTATCATATTTTATTTCAGCCTCATTTTAATGAACGAAAACTACTTTTAATAGTTTTAGCACTGCTCTTTTGTGTTGTGGCTGAACTGTACTACATTTGGTGTAATTAATAAATTCATCATTAGACTGAAGTTCAATTTATGGGTCAAGTGTACAAATAATATTCTGATTCTTAGGAGATCTTCTAAACTTTATTTGACCTCAGCCCTTCTTTAACCCGCAGATGGAGGCTTTACTCCGGCAGACACAGGCTGAGCAGGACACACAGCTGAAACAGCAGGAGATGGAGTTAAGAAGAGACGCTGAGATTGAGCTGGACATCCAAAGAGGGAAAAACCAGGAGCTGCAAAACAAATACCAGAGTGAAAACCAGCGAATGCAAAACAAGGTACAACTGGCTGACCTCTGACCTTCAAGTCATGGTTCAGGGGCGTCAGATTAGTAAGGCAGTATAGTTTTCAAAAAAAATTCACATTTAGCTTTCAGTTAAACGCGTTATTAACGGCGTTGACGCAAACCCATTTTAACGGCATTCATTTTTTTATGGCGCGATTAACGGTCTTTTTGGCCTAGCAAACTTTGTAGTTTTTGTCACATGCTTTTGCAACAGGACGCGGCATGCGCGGCGCTGCGCTATGAAACCCATTCATTTCAATGGCTTGCGTCGCGCGAGGACGTTTTGTTGCTTCGTCGACAAAACAACAGGCACGCCGCACACACTTGTTTGGGCTTGCGAGCCGGCCAAATAGTAGGTTAACGTTACGTTTTGAGTGGATGACGAGCGCGAGACGCAGAAATGGATGCCAATAAGATTCTGAATGGAAAGTTTACTTTTTAAAAGTTGCCAAATGGTTCCATTGAAGAGACCAAAGTGATCTGTGTGTTTTGTCGTTTTGAACTGAGCTATCATCATCGCAGCACGTCCAGTCTGAAATACCACTTGATGATGGCCAAGCACACACACACACACACACACAGCTGATGCGAATTCTCCGCCCCCTCGTCAATATCAGGACCTCTTCAGTATTTCTTTCACCCTTTTATTGATGGACAGTGTTACATTGTGTGAGAGATTATTTGCTCCAAGTGAGAATGTTAGTGTGAAATTGAACACAGGATATGCCAATGTTGTTTTTTTAATAAAAAAAAAAAAATTCAATGTTGATAAGAGCATTAAAATGATAATGGGACAAAAAGAAATCAAGAGACATTTAGAATAGATAAAAATGTGCGATTAATTACGATTAATCGTGAGTTAACTATGACATTACTGCGATTAATCGTGATTAAATATTTTAACCGTTTGACAGCACTAATATATATATAATAGTAGTTTGAGGATTTCACAATTTTATATAATCCTGAGATACAGAAAAACATGTTTGACTTGCTTTGACGGTTGAATATGAGACTCAACTCAACGCTCTCAGTTTCCCACCGGACTCATTAATTTGCCCTCTGATGCATGAGTTATTAAACCACAAAGAAAAAAAATATCTTAAAGTTTTGTTTTACTGCACTTCAAAACAAGAATAGAATCATTCCCAGTTGCCCTTCAAAATGTTGTCATCTAACTTTTGCAATAGAAGATAAGGGTCAATGTTGATATAATATAATATGGTATAATATAATTTTAATAATTTAAAAATTGTCAATAGACAGAGGTAAGTTGTCGGTTAATTGACATTAGACATTAGGTTAATTGCCCCCCCCTCCCCCTCCCCCCCCTCTCTCTCTCTCTCTCTCTCTCTCACACACACACACACACACACACACACACACACACACACACACACACACACACACACACACACACACACACACACACACACACACACACACACACACACACACACACACACACACACACACACAGAGCTCCCTGTGTCTGTTTCCATGTCTTTCTCTCTGAAAGTGTTTGAGAAATTTTGTCTCACACCTCTCCTTTGTTCATGGCCATAAATGATGTCTGATGATCACTGTCTGTCCGGTGGAGCCTGATACGCCCAGTGTGTGTGTGTGTGTGTGTGTGTGGCCAGAGTAAGATTGGTGGAGGCAGGTCTACTGGTCCAGAAGTGATGTTGAGAGGTTCTGTCTCTGCATGCCACAGATGAGGAGTTGCTGATCACACACAACATAGGGAGAGGATTGGGAGTGAGGCGGGAGTTTTATAATGTTAAAGTTTTAAAAATATGTCTAAAAGAAGTCTCTTCTGCTCACCAAGGCTGCATTTATTTTATAAATAACACAGTAAAACATTAATATTGTGAAATATTATTACAATTTAAAATGTTTTTTTTTGTATGAATTTATTTTAAAATGTAATATATTCCTATGATCAAAGCTGAATTTTCAGCATCATTACTCCAGTCTTCAGTGTCACATGATCCTTCAGAAATCACTCTAATATGATGATTTAGTGCTCAGTAAAAAATTATCAAGTATTGCTCAGTTATTAAGTGGTACTTATTATTATCAATATTGAAAATAGTTTTTGCTGCTTAATATTTTTGTGGAAACTGAAGTTTTTTTTTTATATAGATAAATAGAAAAATAATATCATTTCTTTTATATAATTATAGTTATCATCCTTGGTGTGAACAGACCTTTATTTATAGAAACGCAGACAGCGTAATTAGTCATAGTCATCAGCACAAATGTTTTTTGGTGTGTTTTTTGCCAACTATATTTGTGGATGTCTCCCTCTAGATTCCCGCTCTGGTTGGTTCAGCCACACAGGAGCTCCAGGAGGAGTTGGCAGAGCTTCAGAAGCGTGTTCATGAACAGGAGGAGCAGATTCGTGAGAGCGCCACCCAGAGGCAGCAGGAGATACTGCAGGAGCAGAGGACAGGAGAGACGCTGAGGCAGAACACACACCAGCTCAACATCGCTCAGAGTCACATACAGAAGCTCAGAGAAGAGGTGAGGCACATCTCTACACTCACACATCTCACCGTTTGAGGAGGGTCATCGACTCGCATGTCCAGAAATGGATTTAACAGACGGCACATTTACACCATTCTGAGGACTTCATAGGGAGAGCGAGCTGATAGAGACGTGTATAGTTTCTACATGGACAAACTCATGCTGGGAAATTATCATTTCACTTCAACATCACACATGAGTTACAATTAAAAGGGGGCTTTTTAAGGAAAGAATTTTAGGGATTACATGTTAAAGTCTTGGGAAAAAAAATATTAAGCAGCACAACATCAATAATTTCAACATTGATAACAATAATAAATGTTTCTTAAGCCCCAAACCAGCTTATTCGAATGTGACTCTGAAGACTGGAGTAATGATGGTGAAAACACAGCTTTGACATCACAGGAATAATAATAAAAAATAAAATAGATTTTAAATTATAATTAAATTGTACAATATTTCTGTTTTTACTGTAGTTTGATTAAATAAATGCCACATTGGTGAGCTTGAGAGACTTTTTTCAAAAAATATGTTTTTAAAAACCTTACAGAGCCAAAACTTTTGAATAGAAATGTAAATTGTTGACATTTCAAGTTATATAAATTAAACATTTTTTAATGTATCATGAAGAACTATGGATTCAAGGGGTCATAACAGATTTTAAGATTTTAAGATGTTTCTTGAGGTTCACTTATTATAATGTTAATAAAGTTTTTACACACACACACACACACACACACACACACACACACACACACACACACACACACACACACACATATATATATATATATATATATATATATATATATATATATATGGAAAATAGCTATAAAACTTGCAGGATGGCACAAAGACCTTGTATTTGTCAAAAGATCAAGGCAAATTTGATTTCTTATGTCATGACCCCTTTAAACAATAGTACATTTATGAATTTATAATATGTCAATTTTTAGTTCACGATAACTAATGCAATAACTAATGTGAACCTTATCATAAAATGACCAAATGTCACCAAATGAAGCTGGAATGAGTTCTTCCTCCGGCCAGTTGGACATTCCCCTGGCAGAAACAAGAAAAAAAGCAATATAAAGTGTGAATCTTGAAGCTTTTAATATTAATTGGGCATGATTGTATGTAATTGAAGTTTGGATATTGTATTTTTTACTTGATAAGCCTCATTGAAGCAAAATAGATTTATCTGATTTTAAATGGCTTTTTACCGACCCCTAGGGGTAAAAAAGTGAAGAGCAAGAACTCTGACACAATTCAAATACTGCTGACACACAGTAGACAATTAATAATGAAGGCTTGTAATAAATGGAGATACTAACAAAACAACCCGCGTGCGTTCATAACTAATGCAGCGAGACAGTTGGCAAACCTATCATTTATATCATGCAGCAAAGAGCAGCTCTAGACTCAGCACACATGAGTCAGAGGCAGGGCCGGACTGGGACCAAAATTCGGCCCTGGCATTTGTGGTTTTCACCGGCCCAACTAATTGATGACGTTAAAAAACGTCCCCAGAATCTGAACATTTTTCCCACTGAGACACACCATTCAAGGCAGCAATTTAGGCGCGTTTCCATTACAGATTTGCGCAAAACTTTTGCGATTTTTTCTAAATGTCGATAAAAAACTATTGCGAAATGACGGCGTTTCCATTAACTGATGTTATGCGATACAACGTCCTTTTTTTTCTCTCGCGATAAGTCATTTAAACATCATGGCAACGGGTCTATCAGCCACCACCACACTAGACATTATTATTATTATTAATGGAATGAGACGTGGTGTGTTATCCAAGCATTAATGGCAGGGAAAGACGCATACTGCTAAGGAGTTTCTGGGTGTTTCTCTCTCATTTCTGCCCCGAGGTCTTGATTGTGGCATTTCTTTGAGGTTTAGAATCCAGTATTCCTGAAGCCTAATAATTGTTTATTTTATGAATTTAATAAAGAACTTTGTCCAAACGGTCAGTGTACATTTGTGTCCATTCGTTTTTCCTTTTTAAACCCGTATTGCAAAACGAAAAATGAACGGTGATTTTTTTTATTTAAAATGCAAAGTTAACCAGCAATTTTTTTTTAAATTTGAACTGTACACAAATGCTGTGCAAAAATAATAATATATCGACTAAATTTCAGATGTTTCTTTGACTTTTTGCCCCTTTATTAAACATTTAAAATATTCACAACTTAATACGAAAAAAATGTAGATTTTAATGGTTTTCTAAGGGCAAATTAGAACCTGGAAATTATATTTTTCCCGCAGTGCTGAATGAGAAGAGCCATATTTATGTCTCTGGAACCACAAGGTGATTTAGGTGAGTTATAGGCTAATGATAATAAATCTGTCTGAAAAATAACGAGGCATTTTAATTGTTTATTAATAAACTATTGTTTTCTAAATCAGTGTCGGCTAAAAACATATCTCCATCTCCGCTGAGGCGCGCCGCGCGAATGCACCTTTAGAGAGAAATACACCTTTCATAAGGATTACATCATCAGAATGTATTAGCTTTCGATTCGAATTTGTTCGTTTTAAAGTGGACACTTCAAGCTTTAGCCTAGGCTATACTTTGTTTCAGTTCTCGCGCTCCAGTTCACGGAGATCATGAAAGCACGCATGATTGTTTTATTTTATTTTACAAAAGCACAACGTTTTCTTGTTATTGTGAGTTTACACAAATAAAATCATAGTGGCGAATAATGTATTATTATTTTCTGTATGACCAGAAATTATAGAGTAGGCCTATTTTAAGTTGTTTCTACTGTTGATAGGAAAAAGCAAGTGTTCGCGGCCGCGCCTCCGTGCCATGCGCGCTCAGCAAACACTTGGATATGCGTCAAAATCTTGTGTTTATTTGTGATAATCTTAGCCCTGTATTATTATTGTCTAACCATTATGAATGACATTTGACTTTGTTCCTTTTTTTGGATAAAAGCATCTTCTAAATATGTAGCCTAATAACTGTTATAATAATGATGATATTTATTAGCCTATTATTTGCGTATATCACGGACCCCAAACACACCGCGTCTTCAGGTGACTGTAAATGCGCAAAAACTGTTTCCATTGCAGTTTTGCGAAATATTCCTTTTTCGAATTGCCTGAAAAACCACCTCATGCGAGCGTAAAAACTTTTTTGCGATAAAGGTGCAGCAACGTGGTCAGCTCGGCCCAAAACAATAAAAAATCACACCGGCCCTTCTGGCATGTGCCAGAATTGCCAGATGGCCAATCCGGGCCTGGTCAGAGGAGAGAACGGGAATAAATATCCAGCACTAAAATAAGAAACAGCAGAGGTGACATGAGCATGCGTGAGAGTGTGTGAGAGATGAGCGAATCCTTCTCGTCAGAGAGAGAGAGATAGAGTGTGTATTTGGGGCAGTGTTCTGTTGACACGCATGCCTGCGTCTCCAGGGGGCAGTCTGTGGTTTCAGTCACGACACTCTTGTCAGTTCTCTCTCTCATATTCTCCCACTTCAACAACCCTTTCCTCCAACCTACCCCCACCCTCCCCTCTCCTCTCTCTCTCTCTCTCTCTCTCTCTCTCTCTCTCTCTCTCTCTCTCTCTCTCTCTCTCTCTCTCTCTCTCTCTCTCTCTCTCTCTCTCTCTCTCTCTCTCTCTCCTCTCTCTCTCTCTCTCTCTCTCTCTCTCTCTCTCTCTCAGTTCAAGGTGCCGTGACGTGAATTTCACAGCTGACACACACTCTTTTATGTGGCCCAGAGCGCAGCGTCTCTCCATCTCTCATCTCCCTCCCCGCTTACAAAGCAAATGGCTTTCTTTTGTGGGAAAGATTTCGCTGCATTTTAAGAATCCATTAAAGCTATCTAAGATCTGACTGTGATATAAAATCGATACCTAAGGGCATTTAACGCTCCACCTCTCATAAGAAGCACCTTCTTGATGTTCTTTTCCCTTCCTCCCCCTCTCGCTCTCTCTTTTTCTTTCATCTCGTCTTTGAACTGTGCCTGCGCGCTCTTCAGAGGCATCTGAGATGGATATTTTCAGACTTTGGTTGATATTTATTAGGATTTATGAGGTTGCAGGTTCAAGAGCAGGAGGGAAGTGGGAAGGACTGCGGCTCTGTTTCTAAATGAAGTTAGCTTTAGCTGTCTCCCTAGGCAGTATTTTAAGACATCATAGACTTGCTTTTGGCACACGAGCTGGTCTAAGATAAGAGACCCTGCCAAGATACTCAATTTTGGCCTAATTTAAAGGCATTGTTTTTATCCGTAGCCGACAGGCCAATCACAGCGATGAGTGAAACAATTCATTCTAGATAGCAGATGAGAAATAATCCAATCTAATTAGAAAATGACCAATTTTGCTCAATATTTCTGTGTGCTATGCATTTGTAGGCTTATCAGATGTTACATCTTTAACTTAGCAACATGCTAATGTCATTTTTTTTGGACTATATAAAACTAATATTTCGTTTTTATTTTCAGAAGGAATGTCAATTTAATGGTTTAAAGGAATGGTAACAATTTAGAGTATGGGTGCACTAATATAAATGAATATGTAATTCTAGTTCAAACTTGAAACTCTAGAGGGCGCAAGCTGATTGGTAATTTAAATGCAGTTTGCATGCAATCACATCAGCAGAAGCACAAGCTGATTGGCCTCTGCTGATACTGCAGCCAATGAGATTGCTTGCTCAACATTTAAATCGTCTGGTTTACTATAAGCTAGTCCTGCAGCGCACTTTCAGATTTACTCTGAAATTCAACTTCTTAAGATAAGTAAACAGTCTTTATTATTCCAAATCACTAAACATTGTTATATATATCTTCATATATCGATTCATAAATGAAGCAAACAAAGTCATGTCTGATGTTTTAGTTGTGTATAATGCAAGGAGTGAATCATTAAGCATATAAGAAAGGCTAGCATGAGAACATGTATTGTCAGTCAACGCAACAGCTCACTTTTTAAATTAAATGAACTTTTTTTATGAAGATAGAATGTGCAGGTTTGCATGTTA